AGTTAATATAAGTTAACCTCTGCCATTCTCATTGAAACCGGTTCAGATTTTGATATAGTTTCTACATATATATTTTCGTCCGATTTTACACAAAATTGACACAAATTTTGCACAACGTACTAAAGTTGTGAAATGTGGAAAGTTTTGAAATCGGTTCAGATTTGGATAGAGCTTTTATATATATTTTCTCCCGATTTTAGGTAATTTTGTCCCATTGTAAGAAGCAACCCTACATCTGAACAAATGAAAAATTTTGTATTGGTAGCAGATTTCGACGTCTGTTAGCATTCATCTCTTGAATATACCTAAAGTGGTGAAGGGTATCATATAGTCGGCCCCGCCCGACTTTACTACTTTCCTTACTGTTTTTTTTTCTAGAAAGAAGACACATGTCGAATCTTGAAAAATTTGAATTTAAGTTGCATATGCAAGTTTCGCATCAGGGCGGAATAAATACAAGTTATCAACATACGACCTTTGTAAAGCCACATAGCCCCATATGCCTGATGAGCCGCTTAACAAACGGCGAAACGCGTCGCATAATGGTGGTTACGTAGGTTCTTCTCTTGGCTTTTCTGATCATTGCAAAACTTAGATCATTAAGCTCGACTCGAAAGAGTAAAAATAACTCACTTAAAAAAAAATCACAGAAACTTTAAGTTCAGTAATTGTTGTTGTATCAGTCCTATGACTTTTACACAATGGGGTGAGGTTGCAGACGTTGACCGAATAAGACTCAGGTCGTTTCGGATCGTGGACGCCTCTGTTGTGGAAATGACTTAGAGTTCAGTGATTATTATTGTATCAGCCCTATGGCTTTTACACAATGGGCTGAGGAAGCAGACGTTAGCCGAGTAAGACTGCCGTCGTTTCGGAAATATGTCGTGGAAACGAGAGAGAGTTCAATCGTAGTTGTGTAAGATGTCAAATGGTCGGCCCCGTCCAACTATTCTGCTACGCTCACTGGTTTATCAATACCCTAGGTTTAATTAGTTCCAGACCTGCTTTTTAATCTAATCCTATCGGTTGAATCGAAATAGCTAATTTTTACTTTCGATCATCCGTCTGTCCCCTATAACTTGTAATTTTGGTTCTGGCGAATAAACATACATGTAGGTGGAACATCGGAATTTATCTATGTAGCTCACTATAAAAATTTCGACTGGCCCTATATTCAAAATATTTCACTAAGAGGTATTTTATATTCTTAAAACCTGAAATGTGTACGCTTGGAAGATGAGGCTAGAACTATCAAAATATCTAACATTTGGATTATGTCTAATCTTTCTATTTTTATATTTATACCCCTTACCCTTATCGAAATGTGTCTCATCGAAATATTGATTTTTCACTCCATGTTACTTTAGAACAAATCCGTTCCAACTAATTTGAACCCGATTTACAAATGTCCGTCCGTCCGCCTGTCTGTCTGGTGCGCACGATAACCCTCGAAGGGAGTGACCGATTTCATCCAAACATTGCACATCGTTATATCTCTACCAAACATAGTTCAAGTTCGAAGATGGAGTACATCAGTACACTCCTTCTGGTACCTCCCCCACAAAGTGATCGAAATTGTGCTAAAACATAATTTTATAATATCATGCGAAGGGACTATCCGATTTAAACCAAACTTTGTACAACTTATTATCTTTACCAAGCCTAGATCAAGTCCGAAGATCGGACCCACCCACAAAGGGTCAAAATTTTCAATATTTACGAATCCAATATCAGCGAATGGTGCGTCCGATTTAAACCAAAATTTACGCAATCTATTATCTTTACAAGCCTAGATCAGGTCCGAAGATGGGACCCATTGGCCCACTTCTTCTGTTACCGCACTATGGGATCCAGAGATCCCATTTTTTCCCATAATTATAGCAGTAGGTTAATGAAATAAATTTATATCAGATGAAAAAGTTTCGAGGACGCTGATTACGATTCTGCAAGAAAAAAGTAAAAATGTAATAGGGTGAACCGAAAACGACGATTACATTTTTTAAAATATGAATTAATTGTAATTATTTTTGAACACTTTTGTAGAGCTATGGCCACAGGCTACAAATGTCAAATTGGATTTTGAAAATCTACCCCGAAACCTGTGTAAATATTGATAGTTTTTAGTACGAAGATTGCAAACCCCGTGAGAATTTAAAGTACTAAACAAATCTCAAAAAAAAAGACATATTTCTGATACGTCTACAAAAAGGTAACCGATTCGAGCAACAAAAAATTACCGTACTTATAAGCCGTAAACTAAATACTACAAGACGACCCTCAAATATGTGGCACATAACATATTGAGTATGGTCCCCAAAGACATGACATCAATGTTCGTATGTTTTCATCGTCCTTTCCCACATTTACCCGTGGTAGTGGATATACCAGAATGAGTCGGGTTTTCCATATTCTAATTTGATCTATGTTTCGCAAAAAGAAAGATTGATTTTTAAACTGTATTGGTGCATCATTTACCATTTTTAAATTGATCATGCCTGTCGTGCTACTGTACGATGCCAAATATTTTCTTAATTTTAGTAGTTTCTGGTATTTATAGCAGTAGGACATTTCTCAACTTTTTTTCAAATCGCAAAATAAAAATTATCGGTTTTCAATCATGCATTGCCTAAATCATTTTCATCGTCATTATTTATTTATCATTATTATTTATTTATTTAAAAGATATAACATTGATTTGTTATTATATATTATTTTGCCCTATATATTATTTTTGGATTTACCGAACAATTTGTAAATATTTACACCCTAAATGTAACCTTGAATTTTCGTTGCGCTGTGCTATCTATGTACACTTTTCACACCTGGCTATAATAAACAAATAATAGAACTATAATGGAGATTGGCCTCAGTTTGCGATCAATTAGCAAGATCTCCAACAACATCAGCGCAGTAAATGAAACGTGTTTTTATATATTTGCTTATTTTTTTCATTTCGTTTTCGATGCGATTTTTTTCGACATGCAGTGACATCAGCCCCATATGATACCCTACACAACTTCCACGAAAATCTAACTTTCTGTGGTTATATATACTGAAAAAATATTTCGTGTTTTTATATATTTGCTTATTTTTTTGATGTTCATTTCAATTTTGGATTATATATGGACAAGAAAAAACACAAAAAATTAAGTATTCGGTCCCAATTTTTTGTGATCATCACCGAAAATTATAGGCGTTATACCATTCCTGGATCCTCATGGAAATTTTCATAAAAAATAAAAAAATATATACATTTTAAAATGACACAAAAAATATGTATTAAAACAAAAGGAGTTTCGTTTGTTTTTTGATTATAAAGCGGAAGTATTCATTAGCAATTGTTGATGAAATGAAAGAAAACAACAAAAACAAAAACTTTTTGGGTGAACTTGACTATGAAGAAACAGAAAATATTAACCAAAAATTCATATACCCATAGCGAAGAGTATAGTTGCTAGAAAGGTGTAGATTTGCGTTGAGAAGAATTCTGGGTTTTGGGATGTTAACTTTTATTGCCAATTAAATGAGAATTTTATTTCCGCAAAGTAATTTTGTGTTGTTAAAATTTAGAATTGGGGTTTTTTGATTGAATTTTATTTTTAAAAACAAATGTGTCATTATTTAAATTCGGGCTGATGGGAATTTGTTAACTTATTAATTGATGGGAATCACTGCTTCTCGAATTAGATGACTACATTTTTGCTAGGTAGAAAATCGCTAATTTTTTTGATATTTCCCTTTTTAAATTTTTTTAAAAATATTTTTATAGGATATTTTTTCAAGGTCTATACAAGGCGTGGATTTTTTTAAAGAATATTTTTCCAAGGACCACTACAAGACGTGAATTTTTTAAAGAATATTTTTTTTCAAGGACCACTACAAGACGTGAATTTTTTAAAGAATATTTTTTTCAAGGACCACTACAAGGCGTGGATTTTTTAAAGAATATTTTTTCAAGGTCTATACAAGGCGTGGATTTTTTAAAGAATATTTTTTCAAGGTCTATACAAGGCGTGGGTTTTTTTGAAGAATATTTTTTCAAGGTCTATACAAGGCGTGGATTTTTTAAAGAATATTTTTTCAAGGTCTATACAAGGCGTGGATTTTTTAAAGAATATTTTTTCAAGGTCTATACAAGGCGTGGATTTTTTAAAGAATATTTTTTCAAGGTCTATACAAGGCGTGGATTTTTTAAAGAATATTTTTTCAAGGTCTATACAAGGCGTGGATTTTTTAAAGAATATTTTTTCAAGGTCTATACAAGGCGTGGATTTTTTAAAGAATATTTTTTCAAGGTCTATACAAGGCGTGGATTTTTTAAAGAATATTTTTTCAAGGTCTATACAAGGCGTGGATTTAAAGAATATTTTTTCAAGGTCTATACAAGGCGTGGATTTTTTAAAGAATATTTTTTCAAGGTCTATACAAGGCGTGGATTTTTTAAAGAATATTTTTTCAAGGTCTATACAAGGCGTGGATTTTTTAAAGAATATTTTTTCAAGGTCTATACAAGGCGTGGATTTTTTAAAGAATATTTTTTCAAGGTCTATACAAGGCGTGGATTTTTTAAAGAATATTTTTTCAAGGTCTATACAAGGCGTGGATTTTTTAAAGAATATATTTTCAAGGTCTATACAAGGCGTGGATTTTTTAAAGAATATTTTTCAAGGTTTATACAGGGCGTGGATTTTTTAAAGAATATTTTTTCAAGGTCTATACAGGGCGTGGATTTTTTAAAGAATATTTTTTCAAGGTCTATACAGGCCGTGGATTTTTTAAAGAATATTTTTTCAAGGTCTATACAAGGCGTGGATATCACACTTAAGAATAAAAACTTCGAATTTTAATTGGTTTCTATTTACATTTTTTTATTTCATATTATAAAATATTTATAAATAATTCCAAAACACCTTTGTCGTATTACTAAAAACTATTCAACAAAATTAAGAAACAACAGTTACAAACTATTATCAAATTTTTGGCATTTCCGATTTGACTTCTTACAAAACTGGTAAATATTGATTGCTGATAGTTGGTCTTACAATGTTATTGTTAATTTCATTGGCAAACAGATTGAAACCAAAACCTCTAGGTCTGGCTGTGGTTCCACTATCCACTTTCGAGGTTACGTAGCGATAACCGGTGCTTGTTGTTTGTCCATTGACAATTGGAGTATTAAAGGTATTGGTTTGAATTTTTGAGGCAGCTGTCAACATTTTATCCTCAGTGGATTTTACAATTTTATCATCACATTCAGGTTTGGCCGAATCCGATGTATATTTACAGGTGACCTCTTTGCGTTCGACCAAAATTGGTGATTCCGTACCATCGGAGGAGATTTTATGGGTAGTTGTGGTGGTGGTTGTGGTATAGATGTAACCTCCTCCAACTTCATTGTTGTTGACATCTTCAACTAAGCCTGTATTTGCATCACCTTGGTTCGATGTTTGATAGGTTGTGGTGGAATATTTGTAACCCTTACCTGAACTTCCTTCTTGATTACCACTCAAACCGGCATTACCGGTTGTAGAGGTTTTGCTTGTTGTTGTTTTGCTGTAGCTATAACCGGTATTACCTCCTGAAGTGGAAATTCCTTTATTGGCTCCAGAATTGCCAGAATTTTGTGTTAGGGTATAACTGTAACCAGTACCCAAGTTTCCAGCACCAGAGGAGCCTTGAATGCCAGCTAGACCAGTATTACCAGATGTTGAAGTTTTGGTAGATGTGGTGGTATAGCTATAGCCAGAATTTCCACCACTTACCGTGGCTTTTCCGTTGTCCTTATCTCCAGAAGTTTGAGTAATACTATAGCTATAACCAGAATCGGTATTACCACCCAAGGCCGATCCTTCTTCGGTATTTTCAACTACAGAGGATTGGGTTGTGGTGGTAAAGGTAAAATCAGAATCTTCAACCGATGTAGAGATTTCTTTTTCAGCTTCCTTTTCTTCAGTGGTGGTTTGAGTGGTTATGATGCTATAACCAGAGCCGGAGTTGTCACTTAAAGAAGATCCTTGACTACCACTTAGACCGGTTGTTCCAGTTTTGGAAGTTTGAGTAGATGTGGTGTAACTGTATCCAGAATTTCCTGTGGAGGAAGAACCGTGGTTACCGGCAAGACCACCTGCATTTCCGGTGGTGGAAGTTTGGGTAGTTATGGTGTAACCGAGACCACCATTTCCTCCAGTTATGGCAACCTTATCAGCTTCATTTTCTTCAGTGGTTTGAGTGGTGGTATAACTATATCCTGAACCGGAATTTCCAGTGGACAAAGAACCTTGGTTACCACCAATACCAGAATTTCCAGTGGTGGAAGTTTGGGTTATTGTAGTGTAGCTGAAACCAGCATTTCCTCCGGTTGTGGTAACCTTATCGACAGCCTTGTCTTCCGAGGTTTGCGTGGTGGAATAACTATATCCTGAACCAGAATTTCCTCCTGTAGAGGTACCTTGATTACCACCTAGACCACCTGCATTACCTGAGGTAGAAGTTTGGGTAGTTGTGGTGGTGTAACTGAGGCCACCATTTCCTCCGGTTGTTGTGGCCTTATCGGCTTCCTTTTCTTCAGTTGTTTGGGTATAGCTATAACCTGAACCGGAATTTCCCGAGGACATCGAACCTTGATTACCTCCTAGACCAGCATTTCCTGTGGTAGAAGTTTGGGTAGTTGTGGTGTAGGTATAGCCGGAATCACCTCCAGTTGTGGTAACCTTATCTGCTTCCTTATCTTCCGAGGTTTGGGTGGTGGTATAACTATATCCTGAGTCATTATTTCCACCAGTTATGGAACCTTGATTGCCACCGATACCAGCATTACCTGTGGTCGAAGTTTGGGTAGTTGTGGTATAGGTATATCCGGAATCACCGCCAGTTGTGGTAACCTTATCGGCACCCTTCTCTTCCGAGGTTAGAGTTGTGGAACCTTGATTACCACCTAGACCAGCATTACCCGTGGTCGAAGTTTGGGTTGTTGTGGTGTAGCTGTATCCAGAATTTCCAGAACCAGTGGAACCATCCTTATTACCATTCGACACCTGGCTGTTGGAATTCGTGCTATAACTGTAACCATTATCCTGGCCATCATTAGTTCCCTTGTTGTCACTATCTCCAGTCGTTGTTACAGTTGTTGTTATTTCCTTATCAGCAGGAAAAACAATTGTACCGCCAACCGAACCACCATTCGTGGTTGGTGTAGTTTCAGAGGTAGTGGTTGTTGTTGTGGTAACATCATCATCATCATCATTATCCTCAATTGTAGTGGCTGCAATGGCAGCATTTAATAAAGCACTACCGGTTTCAGGGCGTCTAGTTGTAATTTCAGGGGCCTCGGTGGTACTATAAACATAACCTGAAGTGGAACTGACACTACTCTCAGTTGAGACTGTACCAAAGTCGGTATACTTATCTTCTGTTAAATCTTCCGTAGTGGAGGTAATGCTGACTTCAGGGGCCTTTGTGGTGGTGGTCGTGGTAGTTGTTGTGGTTGGAGCTTGGGTTGTAGTTGTGGTAGTCGTAGTAGTCGTTGTTGTACCCGTAGCAATACCCGTTGCTCCACCAATGAAACCACTTAAAATACCACCACCACTGCTGCTGCTTGAACTTCCACCACCACCTAATTTACTGCTAACAACACCGGTGGCCAAATTTGTAATCAAACTCAAACCACCACCACTGCTGCTGGAACTACTCGATGATGAAGAACTGCTGGAAGAGCTATAGGAGGTGGAAGAAGATCCCGATCCCAATTTGCTGCTTAACAAACTTGTAGCCAAATTTGTTTTGGAACTTAGATCAAAGCCGCTACTGGAACTACTGCCACTGCTGCTGTAGGAGCCGGAACTGCTACCACCACCCAATTTGGTACTCAAAAGGTTGGTGAATAAACCGGTTTTGGCGCCGAATCCAAAACCACCACTCGAACCGGAACTAGCCGAACTGAGACCAGTGGTCAAAGCCTGGGTAATAGTTTGTATCTTTTTAGTAATAATATTTGTAAAAATACTCTGTGTTGCCGATGTCAATAGGCCACCAAAACCTCCAGATGTCGAGTTGCCGGCATTGTTGAAAGCTGAAAAGGTAGAAACGACATTTATTTTTATTAATTTTTTTTATATTATAGGTCTTTATTTGGATTTTTGTGTGCTGATAATAATGAATATATGTCCATCCACATGACCTCCATATTAGGGTAACTCCCTATTTTCGGTTTTTTGAATGTTTTCTATATGTACCGATAGTCCTTAGAAGGTATTGCTAGGCAGTTTGACACTCAGTTGTTTAGGCTAAAAAAATAATTCCTTTAACCGAAATGTTATTGATCTTTCAATTAACGGCTATTTTATACACGGATCATTGAGACATCAATTATTAAGATAGAGCTTCGACGTTTTTCAAACGAATTGGCTTTAATTATATCCTGCAAAACTATGCTGTCAGGGTATTATAGCTTTGTGTAGCCCCAAGAGTTTGTAACGCCGCGAAATATTGATCCTAGACCAAACTTCAAGCATACCGATCGTCATATCTCGACTAGCTGAGTCGATCTAGACATGTGTGTCCGTCCGTCTGTCTATCCATTATAATTTGTAAATACAATACAGGTCAAAGTCATGGACCAATCTTCGCGAAATTTTGCATGTAGAACGGGTTCTGTCCAATGAAACCCCCATTGTTTTTGGTAATGATCCTTTAATATTTATGGACCAAAAATTTTATTTTTGTCTGTTTTTCTGGTCGCACAATAGGCCAAAATTATGACCTGATCATCACGAAGTTCCATACAGAGAAAGGGGTCTGTAAAACCGCTATTTGTTCTAGACCTTTAAGTATACCGATCGTCATATCTCGACTAGCTGAGTCATGTTTGTCCGTCCGTCTATCCATTATGACACGATAAAGGTCACGTTCATGGACCAATCTTCAGGAAATTTTGCATGTGAAGACCCCTATCGTTGTTGGTAATGATCCTTTAATATTTATGGAACAAAAATTTTATAATTGTCTATTGTTATGACCCGATCATCACGAAATTCCTTACAGAGAAAGGGGTCTGACCATAGAAAAAGTATATCTAAGAGGAATTGTTGACCTTTAAATTGTTACCAATTATATTGTTGTATGTAGTCGGATGTGGGAGTTGTTTGTAAATATTTAAAGGTGTCTATGTGTTCTGATATTATTTAGTTGACATTTCCGCCCTATAGTGAGGTAATAGTAAACCCGCATTGCATTTTTTTCATGAGCTTTCGGTTATGGTCAAGAACTACGCCCATAATTTTCGAAGATTTTGAGATGATATTTAACGGATGAAGTGAACCGAAAACTTTATTGTTGTCAGATTTTCTAGTCTCTATAGAGGCCATTATTATATGCAGAACAACACATATTTTACACGGGATCTGACCAAATACTTAAAACGGCTGTGTGGATGATGATCGGTTAATATTCCGAGAGTCAAATCAACCAAAACCTAATGTGACCAAATTTTTATTTATGGCGTAAATATTCACCTGGGGAAAGCAAGAGTTGAAAAATATGCAAGAGTTGAAAAATATGCAAGAGTTAGAAAGTTGAGCTGTTGACCAATAATCGGTCAAGAGGGTGGAAATATCGCGAAATATTGTCTTTCTCAGAATAAGGAACCACATGAAGTGGTAGTTGTGTAGGGTATTATATGGTCGACCCGACTATATTGCTCCGCTCACTGCTTCAAGAGGGTGGAAATATCGCGAAATATTGTCATTCTCAGAATAAGGAACCACATGAAGTGGTAGTTGTGTAGGGTATTATAGGGTCGACTCGACTATACTATTCCGCTCACTGTTTTTTGTTTTTTTTTTTGTTCAGAGAATTTTGAATAGAGAATCTCCCTAATAACAAATATTTATATTGACTCAAGTTCCGGGTATTCACCATATTACGATACCCCCAATATTCTGTATATTGGGGATGTTACTCATAATTAGCATCGGAATTGGCTGTAATTTGGTATTTTGGGTTTTCAATGTATAGCCAACCTTTGTACTAAAAATTATTAATATTGACTCAAGTTTCGGGGTACCTACATATAATGGTAATTTTAATGTATTTTGAGCGGCCTTTCAACCGTACTAGCTATAATTATGTATTTGTTGTTCTACTTGGGTACCAAGTCTTCCGACCAGAAATATGTAATATTGGTCCACTTTTCGGGTAGCTGATATATAACAGTACACCAAAAAATTTCGAATTTGGACATATCGGTTCACATTTAGATAACACTACCGACAATGTTCGGATAGTGGTTACGTTGTTGAACCGAATTATCTGTAATTTGATAGTTTAGGTTTTCAAGTCTCCTTACAAAAATGTATTAATATTTGTCCACTTTTCGGCATAGCCAAGGTCCAGGTATAATGTATTTTTGCATATGATTGCAACAGTCTAAATGAATCGAGATCCATGGAAACTTTTGAGGATATGCAAAGAATCACTTTCTGTGTCCATTTACGCATGTCCCTCCGTCTGAAGATGTAAAATTGTAGACAATATGCAAATAGCATTTATGGCCCAAATGAAATGATATGTGGTGCAGGTGAAAATCGGTTCGGATAGCACACCATAATACTAAACTTTGACATGAAATTGTTTACTGCGTACCAAATTAAGCCAAGAATGAAGTGTGTTTATTTGTGTTAAAGCGGACAGGTTTCGATATAGCTACCTTATCTATTTTCGTTCGATTTGAAGTTAATATTGGAACAAATTCCCAAAGTTTGCTCGATTCAGACGAAGATGTGCTCAAAATTGTGACTAATAGACTATTAGAATGTGTTAAGTTTTATTATACTCTTTACTACACTGTGGAACAGGGTATTATGTCCTTGTGCATATGTTTGTTACAGGCAAAAGGAAACGATATAGACCCATGGTTCCTTTTGAGAATATGCATAGAATGACTTTCTGAGTCGATTTATGCATGTCAGTCCGTCCGTCTGTCTGTCCATGTTAAATTCTAAACAAAGTGCAGGTCGCATTTATGATCCAAATTGGATAAAAATTTGGCATGGGTCACTTATTTGGCCCAAGGACGAACCCTATGGAAATTTGTGATATAGATATAGCTCCCATATATATTTTCGTCCGATTTTTAGTAAATGGTGCACCAAAGAGCCAAATTTAAGCCGATTGGCACATTGAAATCGGTTCAGATTTAGATATAGCTCCCATATATATTTTCGTCCGATTTTTAGCAAATTGTGCAACAAAGTTATTAAATTTAGTCCGATTGGCACGCAATTTTTCACAACGTACTTTTGGTAGGACAGTCCAACGTGTGCGAAGTTTTATTGAAATCGGTTCAGATTTAGATATAGCTGATTTTTAGCAACTGGTGCACCAAAGAGCACTAAATTTTGCACAACGTACTGAAGTTAAGATAGTCTAACGTGTGCCAAGTTCTATTTAAATCGGTTGAGATTTAGATATAGCTCCAATATATATCTTCGTCCGATTTTTAGCAAATGGTCTACTCAAGAGTAAAATTTAGGCCGATTGGCATGACATTTTGCACAACTTACTAACGTTAGTATAAAGGTACCAATGTACCCGGTTATTGATCGCTCACATATAGACACACATGACATATTTAATTTAGTCTAATTTCATGTCTATGTTTCTTCAAAAAATGCGCGGTCTGTGAGGATACATATGTTGAATATACCCAAAGTGGTAAATGGTATCATGTAGTCCGCTCCGTCCGACTTTACTACTTTCCTTACTGATTGAAATTGATTCAGATTTAGATATAGGTCCCATATGTATTTTTGTCCGATTTTATGTAATTGCCCACCAAATGGACTACATTTGTCCGATTGAGAAGAATATTGGATTTTTTTAAAACATAATACAAAAGCCCTTAAGATTGATATGATTGACGATTGACATGAAATTTAGCATATGTTGTAGAATGACATGTGTCTGGAAGTCTTATAAAAATATTTAATTTCGCCTGTTCTATCGACAGGATAGTCATTAGGGAAGAATAATTATAAATATTAAATAATATCGGTATATACATTTATTGCTGTAGGTTACAATAATAATCTTTGGAGCATTTCTGGTAAATACCCAAAGTAGTAGAGGCTCTGTTCGACTTTTTGTGCTTTCCTTACAGCTTTTTATGAAAACAATGATAGCTTAGAACCAATGGAGTGAGTCAAGAAAGACTACTGTTACTGCAAATTAGTCTTTCTGGATAAAATAGTTCCACATTCGTTGGAAAAAGTAATTTCATGTATCCTTCAGAGGCTATAAGAATATAGGTCCTTTCACTCATTTTCAACTGCTTTGTTATGCAGGCTTTCACTTATTTTTGGTCACTTTCATAGTCTTTCTGGACTCCCGGCTAACTAGAATTTCATTGTAGTATTGAAATAATTTAAATTCAAGCTTTAAAATTAATAGTTTTGTTTTTCACTTTTATTAAATTGCTAGACAGAACCCATTTTTTACAAATTTCAAGGTTATTGTCATCGCTACTGTATCCAATAATTATTTTTGTTTTTTAATGTGTTCCGCGCTTTTTTGTTACAATCACTTCATCTTCTTCTACTGAAATCTCATTTAAATGAATGGTCACTTTTGGTAGATAATCCGATAATGGTAATTATTTCCATATACCCAACCAATTATCGTTATTTTCCATTTAAAAAACACATCATTTTGATAGTCCATCCTTACCTACGAACTTGATAAATGGTTTGGCTTCAGTTGGTTGGTATTGTAAGCCGATACACACGACAAATGCCGCTAGGCCGATAATGGAAAATATACGCATTTTAATGACCTTGTTACTTTTTTCTTATTGTTCTTCTACAATTCGGTTAATTTTCCAACGTTAGTTCCAAAAACCGATCTATTTGTTTTTCTATTCTTTCGTTCGATACAATGTTATTACCCGGCGTTTTGTTGAAGACTGAAACTTAGCCAGTTTCTATGACATTCTTTAAGCAAAAACCGAAAACCAGACATAGGAAAAGATATCTCATCTAATTCATCTTCTATTGGTACTGTGCTACTGCAAAAACA